CCAAGTCTCATTAATAATTCATATTTTTTCAAAAGGTGTGAAAAACACCCAAAATCCATTAAAACCATGGGCTATAGTCCATGGTTTTTGGCCAAAGAGACATTTTCAAGTCTCATTAATAATTCATATTTTTTCAAAAGGTGTGAAAATGACCCAAAATCGGTTAAAACCATGGGCTATAGTCCATGCTTTTTGGCCAAAAAATCATTGGCTATAGTCCACGCTAAAAATCAACAAACAACAATAGTATTGATAATTGGAATTTTGAATATGACGATTATTTGTTAGAAACTACAATGTGCAGTAATGGTTTAAGGTGTTATTTTAATTTTTATTTGGTTTTGAATGTGATTGTTTTTGAGTCTAAGATGTCATATAGGTATTTGTCATGAGTGTTTTGGTGTTGAGTGAAATGTAATGAAAAAAAAAAAAAAATTGCAGAAAGGTGTTTTGTGTGGGTTTAAAGTTTTTGCTAATATTATCTATAATATGATATTAAGCCATTGCTTTGAGTTACCAGACTGTTTGCTCCTTTGTTTAAACACTTTGGATGTGTTTCAGGGAGATTAACATTAGATCTAATAGTGTTAACCTTGCTTGATATAATGAAGCGCGTGCACAGCCAATGGTTATCTTGCAATATGGACACTTATTACTGTGCATGCTCTCARGTATGTCATTGAGCATTTGCAGTAAGCATGTGCAGTAAGAACGTCAGAGGTCTAGTGTGGAGATATTATGTTTATACATTTGTGAAATAGGCCAGTAGTTGAAAACTATTAGTAAACAGTAGTTTTTGAACCACAAAATGAATGAATAAACTTTTTTTGAATTGTACTGGAAGTTAATTTCGGAAGAGAACTTACAGGAAATAAACTCATTGGACCTTTTTGACTTGGGCAGAATGTTTTTCCCTTTCATGTGTCATTCTCTTAAAAAATCTTTTTTCCCATGAGTTGTATTCATGTGTAAACTCAAGTGCAACTGTTAAACGMAGAAATAATACTCTAGGGAATGACACATGGTCTGAAATAGGGAAAAATTGCACCCATTCTAAAGTGGTCTCTGTTAAAAGGAATATATTCCACATTTGAATAAAGGTAAGTTGCTTATGTAAATTAATTAAATTATTGCAAATGTAAATTACTATAGAATTGACTGCCATGTTGGTTGGCATAAAAAGGAGAAATTATAGGTTACCGCCATTTGCATTGCTACGCGGCCCCCCCAGACAAAAATCGCAACGTGCACTTTGCAATAGACTGCCGTCAATCAAACACGTTGACRTCATTTACACGCATTCGGATCGGCCYGGATAGGCCCGGTGAGTGTGGCTCATAATACTTGTAAGCAATCGACAAGTTTWGGTGCCTTTTGAATCACACACGCGTGTAAATGASATCAAYGTGTTTGATTGACGGCAGTCTATTGCAAAGTGCACGTTGCGATTTTTGTCTGGGGTGGCCAYGTAGCAATGCAAATGGCGGTAATTCAACCAACATGGTGGCCATGATATTATCTTCATAGTAGTAGCATGAAGGGTTGGTTACAAAAAATTTAAAAGAATGTATAATGTTCAAGTGTATTTAAATAAATACCTTCTAGAAAAAATTATTATATTTGATGACATCAAAATGTCTTAATTACTGTATACTCCATATTCACATTTGRAAGACAAGCAGGACAATAATTGGTCAACGTAAACATTAGAAAGAGACTGGTTGGTCTTTTTAAAATATGAACCAATTCATAGCCATCACTTGGGAATTACCAAGTGACCTCCAGATGGGAAGTGAGCACAAAGGGTCTTCTTAATCTTACATGGACAACCAGCCTCATTTCTGTGTTCATCGTTACCATTCCCTTGTTATTTTCCAGTATTATGAATATGTTCAACTCATTTATGTTTGTACCAAAATAATTAGCAGATCTTCTCTGGGAAGGGACATCCTATGAAAGCAAAGGTGCTTATTGAAATGTTTGGACATGTTTGGACATGACCTCTTGTTATTGCAGGAAATAATTCTGCATAGTACTCAACAGTAGCAATATTGCAATACCATAATTAATTTTTGGGTGTCAGTACCCCAAAAGGTACATATTAATGGGTTTTGTGCCCTAAAAATTAGGACAAGCACCCTTACCCCTTTACATAGAATTACTACCTCCTCTCAGGAGTTCATCAGTAAGTTATTCTAACTCAACAGAATACTTAATATATACACACTAATGGTTTATTGTTTTAGAAGGCGGTACTGTAGAACAAGATCTCCTCCTCCTTTCCATATAAAGTGTTTGACTGTTCGTAGATCCATACCAGGATCCAAGACCTGATGTAAACATTTTACAAAAAAAAATTGTAAGGAAAAAGCTTTGACAAGAATGGTTATTTTAATGGTTGAGTACAGACTTGTTACTATATCAATCTTACCTGATCTTGACAGAGAAGTTCTACTCTTGACTCAGCTATAGATGAACGGTCCTCTTCATTGTCGTAAGTGGGTGGGATCTGTCCACCTGTTGGGGTACTGGGTGTACTGCTGGTATGTGAGGTATTATCCCACCCTATAACCTTCTCGTACACATGTTCTACGACTTTACGGACATGTAACATATCACTGGCTGACAGACGATCTCTGAATAACAAACATAACAGCATTCAAAAGAAAGGCCTCCTAAAAGTACTGATAATAATACTTAACAAGGATGTTTGGACAGGAGGATGTTTCTTGGGTTTCTTGCTTGATTCTATAGCTAGGGTTTCTCTGGTCTTCCTCCCTCCACAAAACTTAACATGCTTAATTCCAATTTAATCTGTAAGTAAGCTGTGCTCTGACTATGATCTGCCCAGAGGATGTTTCAGGGTTTGACCTGTGAGTTAGCTGCCCAGAGGTTGTTTCAAGGTTTGAACTGTGATTTAGCTGTGCGCTGGCTTAGATCAGCCAAGCTGCTATTTCAGGGTTTAATATAATTTCAAGGTTTATTTAAAGGGCATCTCTCATTCTATTGAGAGATATTAATATGGGCATAAATTATACAGAGGGTCCTGCTTTTGAGAGGTATGTAAGAAAAAATAGAAGGCAAAGGACACCAATGACATGAAAATATCATATAAAATCGAAAATAGTAATATTACACCTACCTTTTCAGTGATTTAGATGAACTTGTTGTGTGTGGCTGTAAAAAGAATGCTATTTTTGGGAATTTAGGTGTCTGTCTCTGTAAAGAAGTAAAGCAAAAACATTTTGACTGCCAAGTACCCAATGAAGTACGCAAATACATAAACAATTGACTGCCTGGTACCCAATGAAGTAAGCAAATACATAAACAATTGCCTGCCTGGTACCTGATGAAGAGCAAAATTAGCCCACATACCAGGTACCCGATGAAGAACATAGGTAACCCACATGCTATATATACCAGATATACCCAAACAAGTACCCAAAATTGAGGTAACCAGTGAAGAAAAACCCAGGTTACCCATTTCTGGTACTCTACAAAAAAAAACCAGATACAGTGTACCCCACGAAAAAAAATAACTGTAATTACCTTTATGGTTACATCCACGACCCACGAAGGAACAGTTTCTGACAGAAGATAGCCTTCATTTTCACCAGARGCATCAATAGCAAGCAGTCTAAATAAAGTCCTTCCTGTTCCACTACTTTCACTGAATATGAGTGGTGTATGATCAGGTATACTATAAAAACCATTGCCAACTATTACTTTCTATTGAAATAAAAAGAAAACAAGTTGTATTACTACTGATATTCAACTTCTGTGTCATTTGAAGGGAAGTGGTGCGATGTTGGGTGTGAGTGTACCTTGTGGCTAAGATTTAAACCCCTGGCTAGTTCACTTGCATTGTAGAAAAAAATGTGCTGATATTCAGCACTTCTCTACTCCCAGGCATATAAATGGGTACCAAGAAACTGTTAGAAGTAGCCTGCAATGACCAGCAACCTTTATATTAGGGAGTGATGCTCCAAGTCCCCTCATGCACTGTAGAAACTAGTTATAGTGTTAAATAACTCCTGCTTCCTCTCTATAGCTAGGGACTGTACTTTTTATTAATCTCTTAATGCTTGCTTTTACTAGTGACAGAAGAAATGCAAGCAGAAGCAGAAAGAGATTAAGCAGAAGCTGGTTGTCCTAGTGAAACTAAATGCAACAGAAGCACAAGTCAGAAAATAAACAAAAACCTCATTTTTATGCAAGAATGTCCAATTATGATTGGTTAAAAAAATAACTCGGCCAGAGCTTCTGCATCATGTGTACAACAGAAGTATAAGAATCTGGTTTCCAGTAGTGACAGAAGGACAGAAGCAAAGCATTTATATATGCTTCCGTCAATGTTAATGTCTCCTGCTTCTGCAAATGCTTCCATCTTTAGTGAAAACCATCCTTCTAGGGATAACAAAGTGAATGTCAAGACTTACACTTACAGGCTCCACATTAATATTAATGTCACTGGCACTAGCATCTCTACCATCCTCTATGGAAATAAAATCATTCAATTAAAAGAATAAACGTCGGCCCCATTTTAGACATTTTATCAAGAAATATTGGCTCCAGTTATCCTGAATAAGGGGAGGCATATAATTGAAACAGCCATCTTTCACTACTACACTTTTATGTCAATTTTTACCTGGGGTATTAGCACGACCCTGTTCCGTATCTTCAGTAGTGACAGAATGTGTCTCTGGCCAGTGTTCTAGCAGGGCTTGAAGCAATAACACCCCATAATTGACTGAAAACCACAATGATAAAAATATTAACAGACTATYGATCTAGTACTAACTGTACTATCAATATTATTATTAGACTAGTA